GGGCTAAGAACTCCTAAAGCTGTTGCTACCACTGATGCAGCCACCTTCAAGGCTTGCTGATGGAGCCTGATGCATTGTGTTCTAAGCCAACCACTACCCTGGAGAAACAGACCTTTCTTACTGATTTCCTTGATCAGTACTGACCTCTCTTGGGCCAGAAAATCTTTTTACCCAACCTTTTGTTGGTTCTGCTGCTACAAAATTTGACTTGAGGCATTATTTTAAAGTTGCTTGGATGGAAATTTGGGTGAATTCAGTTGAGTTTCTGCTCCTACTTCACCATCTGGCCTCTGTAATGATTTTTATAGCCAATTTGAGGTCCATGGGAAACATGATATTTGTATGAGGAAGTTGAAATGGCTTGTAGAAAAAGATTGTAAGTGCAGCTGGACTAAACCAGTTACATCCAGATGATATCCATACTGGGAAGCAAACAAATTGAGGGTACTGAGAAATTAATTCTCAATATATCTGAAAAACAGGAGGATACTAAATGCTTAAAAAAATCTCAGGTATCTTTCCCTTCAAAAGGCAAAACTGAGAATATAAAATTAATTATTGATCTTGTCTAATTTATCTCTTCAAAGTATTATGAGAATCATTGACACACACAGGGCATCTTTGATGAATGGAAATAAGCAACATTTTTAGGCATTTGCAAATAACATTTTACATACTACTATGTCTTCAGTTACATACTTTCAAAAAAGGCATAGAGAATACAAGATTCCACTCTGCTTCAATTATAAAACAAAAAATATTTGATTCAGAAGTGTAAAAGTTCACCTTACAAACTATCCAACAAGGTATCTCCCTATGTATTACAAAAATCGAACTTTCTTCTACAAAATAATTTTGTTTGCTGTTCCTTTGTATATAAGACATAATACATGAAGACACATAGGTTCGCCAAATTAATTTGTGTAGAATTGGGCAGAGTACTTAAGGAAAAGTGATTCCCTAATGAAGTCCTCCAGATGTTCTTGCTTGTGGATGACAGCTTGCTGACTAAACAAAATCCTAAAACAGTGCATAGTTTCCCAACTGAAATCTATAAATACTGAAGGAAAAAACAAGTTCTAAAGGCATGAAGAGTGCCTATTGTCCATGGAGCTGGATAGACAACTCTTAGAACTCATTAGTCAATACATAGACACTGGACAGACACTGACAATGTATAATAAATTGTGCTCAAAATTGAGCAGGAGAACCTGATTATTTTTGGGAAATTTCATAGTTCCTTTAGGGACCCTAAGCTTATTTCTGACACCAAAGTTCATCATTTAACATCATTATCCTTCAGATGGTGCTGTATGCTCAAAAGTTATGGAATACTAGTCTGAAGAACTGACTCGATGACCATCTAAAGGGCATTGGAGAGGTCATATGGTGGGTTGAGCAGGCTGCAATAAATTACAAATGAGGAATTGCAGGAAAATCATATAAAAGGATGTCAGAAACATTTGAAGGGTAACAAAAGGAAATAAGCATTTATAAGCATCTACTTTGTGCCAGGCACTATGCTAAGCATTTTTCCAAATATTACTCATTTGATCCTCATAACAATCATGGGGGTTGGACGGTAGGTGCTATTATAATTCCCATTTTATAGTTGGAGAAACTGAGGCAAATAGTGGCTATGTTACTTGCCCTGGGTCATATAGCTAGTAGGTGTCTGAGGTCAGATTTGAACTGGAAAATGATTGGAGAAAGTAACGATCTAATCATGTAGCAGGTGTGAAGATAACCAAGGGACAGCTCAGTCTTTATCTATACCCAAAGGAAGGTTCCTCGTACTCTGGGTGAACCTTCTGTGGCAGCTTCATGTCAACATAGGGGCAAGTGTCTCTCAGGATAGGCAGACAGGGACAAGCTAAGATAGGGTCACAGATTTGGGACTTGCATGTGCCAAGTAGAGTAAACAGATAAAAGATATTAATGAATAGAAAAGGAGACATAGACAACAAATGTGTATTATAAGATGGTATTAAGGGATTTTGATCTGCACCAGTGAAGTTAGTACTCTCACACAGCGGAGATCTCAGATATAAATATCTAAATAATATTGTAATAATAATACCAATAGCTAGGATTTATAAAGCACTTTACAAATATTTTCTTTTTTATTGTCATAATAACCCTAGGAGGTAGGTGCTATTGTTATCTCCATTTTAAAGAAAAAGGAAGCGAGGAAGGCAGAGCTCTCTAAGTGACTTGCCCAGTATCACACTGCTAGTAATTATCTAAGACTGGATTTGAATTCAGGTCTTACTTATCCTGGTCCAGCAGTCTATGCAGTATGCCATCTAGTTGCCTATATATAGTATCTTGTAAGAGAGAATCCAAAATTCATTCTAAGTGACAGCACACTTACCTTTGATTTGAGGTAGACACTTACTGATGACACTTTTGCAATTTTGCATATGTATCTAACTAATGAAATGACACAAAGAATGACAAGGCTATCACTAATTAGTGCTTGAGCAAATATTGTCCATTTCAATTGATTTTCTGAAATATCTCCATGAAGTAACACTGAGCAAGTTAAGTTTGTCACCAAAAAGAGAAGGCTTGCTAACATAAATCCCAGATGTAGAAAAATTCTGAAAAAAAAAAAAGCAAACCTGTTAGGTGCACTTACAAAAATAATGGAAGAAATCAGTTCATGCTTCCTCAGATATATTAACTTTATAAATTAATCAAAACAAACTTTACTAATGGAACATAAGTACAAAACTGACAGCAATGACAACACTAGGACTACTAAAGCTTAAAAGGAGTTGAGCTTAGTGAGGTATGCTACAAATAACAAAAAATTTTTGTTCATTTTTTAAAAAACTATGTTGAAGAAAAAGAGGATTAAAGAAAGAACAGGATAGCTATTTGAGGTAGATGATATGATGATAAATGATAATTATCCTCTTTTTATACAGTACTTTAAGGTTTACAAAAGGACTTTCTTCATGACTTGTGACATAAAATTTACATGAATTATCCCATTTTACAGAGGAAAATGAGGCTCTGAGAGATTAATTGACTTCTATTTTATTCCATAAGGCTATGGGGAAGGATTTGATTTAGTCTGACTATATGTCTAGGATCTTATTTACCTTTCTAACAGATGATAATGATTATGATAACAGAGAGAAGATAGAACTACTAAATTTACTCTGTAGGTCTATAGATCTGGTAGGCAGAAATCTGAAAGAGGTTCCACTTCCTGAGGCATTTATATCTACCACTACAGTACTGACATAATGCTGACTGGATCAGACAAAGCAGAAAGTAAGGGAGTGGGAGAAATAGAATAGAGTTTCCTCAGCCAAGTTTGGGGCAGTCCATTAAAGGATTCAGATTATTCTGGATATAACCCAGAAAAAGCTACTGATACTTGACAACAAAGCAGGTATCGACAAAAAGTACAAACCTAACAGAATGGGGAATGTCATGGGCACAAGCACTGGGTAGCATTGCTGATAATATTAATCAGCAACTTGAAACTGATAGATGCTTAGATCTCCAGACATAGTCCTCCTTTGTCCATCAGCAAAATGGGACCCTGCCTACAAGGAAATGGCTTTTGAGGATTAATATTTGGTCTAATTCACCTGCAGCTTTACCCACTCTGAAGCATGCATAACTAGATCTCAGAAACCATCAGTTGATGCCAGGTATTACTGTGAAGGATAAAAAGCCTGGCAAAACCCTTCCAGTATATTGTTTTGAGCCATATGGCTGATATGTGAGAGAGCCTTGAGGAATGGGACAGATAATACCTTTACCTACACTAATGCCTGGATGGTGGCCAAGTTGTCTGGGACATGGAGAGAATAGGATTAGACAATTAAAGGACTTCACCTTTGGGGTCAGGACTAATGAAGGAATTTTGCCAATCCCTCCTCCCACACATAATTACCAGTGAAGTATATCAGTACCTGGACACATCACATGGCTCCTGCTGAACTGAACAACCAGTTTGATACACATATGATAAACGTCAGAGGTTAGGGAGTGGGGTCATCATCAATCTAGAATTAGGGGGTCATGATGCATTGTTTTTTTGTAAGTGCAGGAACTTATTACCCCTAAAGGTGAGGTAGCTACTTCTGCCCAGTAGATATCCTAACTAGTTCAGGTGAATGTCCCACTTCCCAGAAGTCATGTCTACAAAAACAATAAATTGGTACCTCCCTAAAAGGGGGCGAGGTATAACTTTCCAGTCCCAACTTTCCAGTATTTGTTTGGATCCAGACCCAAAGAACTTACCTATAAGGTATTAGGGATAAGAAAGGACTTCTTTTAGAATTATCTAATTATCTCCCTTAGCCCTTCCTTATTCTATTTTCAAGGCATAGCTGCCTAAGCCTCAAAATCCCTATCCCTCACTCTCCTCAAAGGACTCCATTTACTCCAGGGAATCGGTTCAGATGACCCTCAATTGGCAGGTTTCCTTTGCCTCCAGGATGGTTAGGGTAATGCTTTTTTTCAGAAGGACTTATAAAATTTTAAAGAGATACTTTGCTTTTTAAAGGCACAGGGAATGTGAATCTGTCTTTGTATTGACTATGGTGAGTTTATATTTTCCTGAAAAAAAAAATGTAGCTGGCTTTATGGCAATCATGAATCCTTGGAAAATGGTGAAAGACAGTTCTTGCTAGCCCTAGTGAAAGAAGAGAGCAGCCTCTCCACAAAGTCCTCTAAAGGGTCAAAGATTTAGTGTCACCTTTCCGGTAGGACTTCTAGGGAGAGAAAAGTCCTGGATGATGGGACAAGTAATACTGAGTAGGTAATGCTACAGGGTAAATCTCATTAACCCTAGTACTGGAATAAGCTGCATCCAAGAACATAATGGCCTCTTGAAGCTATCTTTCTATAAATGACTATGACCTGTGATGAGGATAGATAACTGAGAGAAGTATCATCTGCATTATGACCCTGACATTTCTGGTGCTGTTTCTGCTCATCATTCCTCCTTACATCAGGAGACTCATTGTGACCTTCCAAGAAGCAAATCATTTTTCACTCACCACCATGTTTCTAACTCAATCCCTGATTGATACCACCTATTGTCCCCTCTGACTGGAGGGCAGAAATTGGACTCTCTCAACTCACTCTACTTTGCACCTGCTGCCTTGCCTGGTTTCAACTCCTTGGAACAAGATACCCCATGATAGGTACCCCCTTTTTCAAATCTGTTAATATCTCCTTTGATTTTCAGGATTTCTATTTTGGTATTTAATTGGGGCATTTGTTTGTTTTCTAGTGTTTTTTTTTTTTAGTTGCACAGCCAATATGTTGATCTGCTCATTCTCTTTTTTACCTATACAAGTTTTTAGATATATAAATTTCCCCCTAAGTACTGTTTTGGCTGCATATCACAAATTTTGGTATGTTATCTCATCATTGTCATTATCATTAATGAAATTATTGGTTATCTCTGCAATTTATTTTTTGATCTGCCCATTCTTTAGGATTAGATTATTTAATTTCTAATTAATTTTAGTCTTTGCTTCAAAGACCCTTTACTGAATATCATTTTTATTGTATTATGATCAGTAAAATATATAATCAATATTTCTGCTTTTCTGTATTTGTATGAGAAATTTTTATACTCTAATACATAGTCAATTTTTGTAAAGGTGCTATTCACAGCTAAGGAATAAGCATATTCCTTTCTAGTCCCATTCAATATCCTCCAGATGTCTATCATATCTAATTTCTAAAATACTATTCATCTCTTTATCTTCTTTCTTGTTTATTTTATAATTAGGGTTATTTAGGTCTAAGAGGGATAAACTGAGGTCTAATATTATTACAGTTTTACTGTTTTCCTCCTGTAACTCATTTAACTTTTCCCTTAAGGACTTAGATGCTATGCCATTTGGCGCATATAAGTTTAGTACTGATATTAATTCAGCATCTGGCACCTGGTTATTCCACTGTAGGTTTAGATGCTGGGCTAAAGGATTCAACTGAGCCACTGTTCTCCTACTGGGGTCATAGCCACACAGCTAAGACTAGCTTAAGGAACATTCCTTGCTCATTACACAGCTAGGGCCCATGCTCAAGACTACCCCCCTCTGCCCTGATTCTGTAACCCAGAAGTGGGTAATAGGCAATTGAGCTGCCAGATACCAACTGTTCCTGCACCCAGTGCTAGTTCAGGGATCTTTTGGAGTCTTTTTCTGCCTTGGTGCTCCCTTTCTTGTGCCTTTTCTTGGCCCTGGCCCTAGAACATTCTGCTAGAATGTTCTTTTCATGCTCCTTGACAGAATCTATCCCCTGTATCTACTGACTTTTCTATCTGTCTCCTTAAGCCACCCTGGGCTGGAAAAATGACTCAATGTAACTTTTTCTAGGCTTTCCCAATCAAAATTAATTCTGGAGCATTTTGTAGATCATTGTTGAGTATGGATTGTGGCAAGCTAGGCTCAGTTCCTTCCTCTTACTCCCCCATTTTGACTTCATCTTTGTAGAATTAATTCTTAATCAACTGTGGTTTGGATTAGATCTTTAGTGCTTCTTCCAAGTTTGAGATTTCATTATTCTATGATTTAATGTCAAATTAAGATTATGTTTAGAAGACTCTACTAGACATAAAAATCTCTGTAAAATGAACATTTTTGGGGAAAAAGTAATGGTATTTTTCTTTTTATTACTATTTTAAATTCTAGTTTCTGCATTTTTATGACCATTAAGCATAATACTATGAAATTCATGAATGGAATGGACAGGTTTTTTTAAGTTTGTAGAGATTAGATAGAAATAAATTTCTTATGGTGATTTATTATAATTCCTCTTTTTTGGTAAGGGAAAACTATTTACAGCAATGGTTGAGTTATATAGCTAGATTGTGATTATCCATCTACCTTTACATTACCCATTACAAGTGATACTTTCAAGTTTGATAGTACCTTCCAGGGTTGTTGTGAGGATCAACTGTGATAATAATTGTAAAGTGCTTAATACAGTGCCTGGCATATAGAAAGGACTATATAAATAGTACAGGGACAAATTGAGTAAGTCCACTTGGTGGGGAAGGGTATCGGTTCACACACTCAGTGCACTAGCTTAGACATATTCAAATAAAGAAGTCTTTGATTTATTTGCCAATTTTGATTATTTATACCACTGGTTCAATAGTTTTGATACAGTTCCCAATAATTTGGGAATGATTTGCTCAAGATTAATGACCTAAAAACAAACTTCCTAAGTTATATAGTGATTCATGATATAACTAACATTTAAATATAATTTTAAAGATGCTTTATGTATACATATATATACATATATGTATGTGTGTGTGAATGTGTGTGTGTGTGTGTGTGTGTGTAGTTCTATATATTACTACAAACTTATGAGTAAGTACTATAAGTATCATCTCTATCTTATAGATGATAAGACCTTACAGAGATGCTAAGTAACTTGCCCATAATCACAGCTAGTAAGTGTCAGATGCAGGATTCAACTACAGGTCTTCTTGACTCCAAGTTTAACACTCTATCCACTATGCTATGAAATACAAAGATTTAGTTTGAATGATTTATTTAATTTATGAATTTCAAGGCTTTTAATTGGCATGATCATAGAAAGTTAGAGCCAGCAAGAGCTGACCTTAAATACCATCTAGTAAGACCACTTCATTTAACTGATGTGTTACAAAAAGAAAGTGATTTTTCTAAGATCACATGTTAGTGACATATCAGAGATTAGAACCCAGATTTCCCAATCTAGTAAGTACTTTCCACTATGACAAAAAGTTCATAACCAACACACGGCTATAAACTAACAAGTATAGAAACAAATGCTGTTTCATGGGACTATAAAGAAATTTCATCTCAAACTGGAATAACATATCTCTAGTTTATCAAAGTTATTAGAAATTACTTCAAAGATTGGGAATGAGAAGAGAGGTAGAAATCAGCAATAACATTAAGACAGAGGGAGAGAACTGACTAAATAGATTAACTCCCAAATTAAACAGTTGCATTGAATTAACACTTGAATGAAATTTGAAAATAAAAAGGGAATTTTACCCACAAAGTCAATACTTTCGGTAACTTTCACATATATTTTTTAAACTTAGCTCAAATCTTCTAAACTGTACTCTCACTGCTGATTTACCAAGTGAGAAATGTTCTTTTTGTCATTAAATATTTCTGCTTAGGATACTTACTTGTTTTTGTGAAGTTCAGCTGCACACCTGACTTTACAAATAACCTATAAAGAAAAATTTGAAAAATGTATTAGCAAATATAATTGAGCACTGATATTTACTTGGCCATGTACACCATATTTACAAAATACTAGTAGCAGTTAGCTACTAAAAAATAAAGTTAAACTGAAATTAATTTGATTTTTCTTCCCATTAAAAAAGTAAGAATTTGTTTTAAAAAATAATAGCTAGTATTTATATAGAGTTTTAAAGTTTGCAAAGAGCTTTACATTTATTATCTTATTTGGTCCTCACAATAACTCTGCCAGGTAGGGGTTATTATTATCCTTATTTTACAGAGACAGTTGCTGAGGCTAAGAGAAGTTAAATGGCTTACCTAGGGTAATAGAACTAGTAAGTATCTGAGACAAGATTTGAATTTAGGTCTTTCTTCCTCTAAGTCTAGCTCTCTATCCATTACACTATATTGTCTTTCCACCCCTACCTTAAAGGAAAATTAAGTTAAAAGGATTAACAATTTATTTCTGTGTGATAAGGCTTCATGATATTATACAAAACTTTTATTTCCTAATCTATTAAAAACTATATTACATGCCAACTATCCTAAATCTCACATTAGATGATTTGACCTACACCCTAATTATGCATATAAATTAGAACATGACTCATTCTTCAAGAGTCTTTTATGAGAGGAAAGAGAGATGGAGATAGGTGATAGTAAAAATGGTGACTAGAACCAAGAAGAGAGACAAGATTATGGAAAACAGAAATCTATTTCTGCAGGGATTTCGGAAGGAAAGGAGTGTCCACTAAAGGTAGCTTAATCCACACATGCACACCCACCCTGGGTGTTATAATTTAAAAGAAGAAAAAAGGCATATATACAAAAAGCTGATCATTTACTGCCTTACATTGCTGTTTTGAGTAGGGTGCCTTAACAAATTATGTCTGATTTCTAAGGGCCAGATTAATTACAGGGGGACAGGGGAACTAATTACCAGTAGGCAAACCACTTTGAAGTATAATCTTCTAGCATGGCAACTCATAAAGCAAAGAAAATCCAAAATAGCTCTCAGTCCAGTATATCCACCTTTCACTTCTAATGTGGTGATGGTAAAATGGCCAAAAACGGAACAAAGGATACTGAGAACCAGGTTTTAGACCATTTAAAAACATTAATATAGCTGTTGAACTCTAAAAGTGAGCTCCATGTCCAATAACCAAGAAGTGGATAAATTACTAGAGGAATCAAATGTATCAACTTTACATTCTCGCTATAGGAGATATCAGAAGAAAGCTGTAGCTAAACTGAAAGATTTGTTCATGTGTCCAACAAGAATTTATTTTTAAAATAAATTTCACTGATATTTTTTGTTTCCACATTCTCTAGATTTCTTTTTATATTTCTCCCACTGCTCCACTCCTCTCAGAGAGCCATCTCATAAAATTAAAAAAAAAAAAGTGGAAGAAGAGAAAAGAAATCAGCAAAACTGATTAACACAGCAAAAAAATCTGAAAATAAATAGGTAGTGGTGGTGTGGGGTAGGGAGAAGGACGAGCTTGGCTAAACTACAGAGCACCCTGGCATCTCTTGACATGGAGGAGGATAGGGAGCCTGCTTCTGGGAAAGTTGTGATCGTGTAGTTGTGATCTTTGTCTCGGAGACAAAGAAGCACATTCTTTAACTGATTCTAGTCAGCTGACCACATGGTGAAGAGGAGGCTCTCTGATTGACTTTTGAAGGCATTCAGAAAAGCATGTCAGCCTCAGCCACTTCCTCTTTGCCTCAGTGCTCTTGGGGTGGCCCAGGTGATTCTTTTGCTCATGGCAACAAGTGAAGATAACTTTGTGAATTTGAAGGGCTTCTCAGTATTGAATATAGTTCTTATTTTGAAGAGGCTTGAGAAGTCATGAGGATCAGACAAACTATTTAGTCTTCCATCCTATTGCTCACCTGACTCAGAAGAGCAGACTGCTTTTCAACAAGTTTAGTTGAGGAGACAAAATACATACGATAATACCAATGGAGACAGCAGGCTTTAGTGAGGTTTATGGCTGGAGATGTCTGGCAAATAAAGGCATTCACAGAGTTGTTTTTTTAATCATGAATCCAGATGCAATAAGAAGTATTTTGTGGGGCATTTGGTTTTTTCATATTCCATTGCTTAAGATAAGTTTTTGAAATAAAGCCACAATTCTGGTGCCAAGATGGTGGAGCGAGGAAAGAATTCCCTAGAGCTCTCCCAAATTCCCCTCCAAACAATTTGAAAACTGCTTCAGAACTAATCTAGGAGCAGTACAGCTAAAAAGGTTTGTTTCACTAGAGTGGAAGGGGAACAAAGTCAGAGAAAAGCAGCAGCCAGCTTCACAGCAAGGGGCCTATAGAAAAGCTCCAAGCCTGGGGCAATCCACCAGAGAGGCCCTGCCGTCCTGCAAACCAGCAGCCTCCAGGCAAGCCAGCAGTTTGTGCAGCAAAGCAAGGACCCACCCTAGTGACCTCACCCCTAGCACTGGTCCCCAGAGAGGCCTCAATCCCATTGCTGACTAGTAGTGAGGTCCAACCCCTAGGACCCTCAATCAGAGAGGCCGTGTTTCCAAAGCAACCCAGTAGCAGGCCCTCATCCCTGGGGCAGACCAGCAACAAGATCCCTCCCCCAGGGACAACCAGAAGAAAGACTCTGTTTCCATAGCAACCCAGCAGCAAGACCCTGCCCCTGGAGTAGACCAGCAGAGAAACCATACACCTTGGGGAGGCCAACAGGGTGGCCCCACACCCTAGTACAAGCCAGATAGGAACCTACCCTCCACTATAAGCAAGTAGCTAGTTCCTGAAGCCCCAGGGAAAGCCAGCAGCAAGACCCTGAGCTCCAGCACAAAAAGCTTGGAACAGTGTAGGACCAGAGCCCAACTCTCACATAAAAACACCAAGTCATAAAATAGGGAGAAAAAATAAGCAAAAAACCCTCCAAAAAACAAAACACAAAAAAAGAACTTGACTATAGAAAGTTACTATGTTGACAGGGATCAAGGCACAAACTTAAGAAGAGGAAAACAGTATCAAAATGGCTAAGCCTGAAAGAAAAATGTAATTTGGTCTCAGGCCCAAAATGAACTCTTGGAAGAGCTTTAAAAGGATTTTAAAAAGCAAATTAGACAGGGCAGCTAGGTGGCACAGTGGATAGAGCACCGGCCCTGGATTCAGGAGGACCTGAGTTCAAATCCAGCCACAGACACATAACACTTACTAGCTGTTTGACCCTGGGCAAGTCACTTAACCCCACTGTCTAACCCCCCCCCAAAAAAAAAGCAAATTAGAGAAGTAGAAGTAAAATTGGGAAAAGAAATGAAAGCAATTTAAGAGAATCATGAAAAAAGAGTCAATAGTATGGAAAAGGATATACAAAAATTCACTTAAGAAAATAACTGCCAAAAAAATAGAATTTGCCAAATGGAAAAGGAAGTACAAAAGCTCACTGAAGAAAATAATTCTTTAAAAATGAGAATTGAGTAAGTGGAAGCTAATGACTCCATGAGACATCAAGATATGATAAAACAAAATCAAAGTAAAACAAAAAAAAAGAAGAAAATGTGAAATTTTTCAATGGAAAAACAACTGACCTAGAAGATAGATCTAGGAGAGATAATTCAAGAATTATTGGACAACCTAAAGCCATGGTTAAAAAAAGAAAAAAAAAAGCTTGAACATCATCTTTCAAGAAATTATCAAGAAAAACTGCCCTGATGAATTAGAATCAGAGGGCAAAATAGGAATTGAAAGAATTCATTGATCACCACCTGAAAGAGATCTCAAAATGAAAACTCCCAGGAACATCATAGCCAAATTCCAGAGCTCACAGATAAAGGAGAAAGTACTGCAAGCAGCCAAAAAGAAATAATTCAAATATTGTGGAACTATAGGTTTACAAGGATCCAACAGCCTCTACATTAAAGAACAGGAGGGCTTAGGATATAATATCCTGGAAGGCTAAGGAGTTAGGATTACAAACAAGAATCACCTACTCAGAAAAACTGAATATAATCCTCCAGGGGAAAAAATGGATATTTAACAAAATAGAGGACTTAAAATTTGACCTCCAAACACAAGGCTCAAGGAAAACATAAAAAGGTAAAAAAGAAACAAGAAAGAAAAAACAGGAGAGATTCAATAAGGTTAAACTATTTATATTATAATTCCATATGGCAAGATAATATTTGTAACTCTTAAGAAATTTATTACTATAAGGGCAATTAAAAGGAGTATAAGTAAACAGAAGATGTGGATATAACTTGACTTTGATGAGACGATACCCACCAAAAAAAAAATAAAATAAAAGGGTGAAAAAAAGATTGTATTGGAAGGAGAGGGGAGATAGAATGGAGTAAATTATCTCACATAAAAGAGGCATGAATGAACGATTTTAATAGAAGGGAAGGTGCAGGGGTGGGTTAGTGGATGGTGGGCAAAGCTTAAACCTTTAGGTTTAGTTGAGGAGACAAAATATATAGGATAATACCAATAGATACAGCAGGCTCTAGTGAGGTTTAAGGCTGAAGATGTCTGGCAAATAAAGGCGTTCACAGAGTTGGTTTTTTATCATGAATCCAGATACAACAAGAAATATTTTGTGGGGCATTTGGTTATTTTCATATTCCATTGCTTAAGATAAGTTTTTGAAATAAAGACACAATTAGGGGCCACCCTGTTGGCCTCCCCAAGGTATAGGGTTTCTCTGCTGGCCTGCTCCAGGGGCAGGGCCTTGCTTCTAGGCTATGGAAACAGATTTCTGTATCCAACTGAGTGTGTATGTTTCCCCCTCCTTGAGTCAGTTTTGACTACCTTATAAGGAAATAAAAAAGGGACAGAGATAATGGGGGGATGATAAAAAGGAGGGCAGATTGGGAGCAGCAGTAATCAGAAGTAAAACACTTAGGAGGAGGGACAGGATGGGGGTAAAAGAGAGGGAAAAACAAGGGGAAAATACCATGGAGGGAAATGCACAGTAGGTTATCATAACTATAAATGTGAATGGGATGAACTTGCCCA